TTTTCCTCCGATGAACACAACAGGCAGGAGTTTGTTTGTGGACTTTGTGTGTGTGTGAGTGTGTGTGAGTGTGTGTGTGTGTGTGTGTGTGCGTGTGTGTGTGTGCAAACGTTTCAGGAAGAAGTGTTGTAATATCGTCTGTAGATTCTCCCGTCTCCGTAGTAGAAAATGTTTGTGACAGTCTGTCAGTGTGTGTCGTTGGTGTCGGAGCGGTTGAGTTTGTTGAGCTGTGAAAGATCCCTCATGAAAAATAAAAAAGACCCCCCCCCCCCCCCCAGACTGGTTTTTTGAGAAGTCCACAGTCGAGGTCCTGATTTTGGTTTTTTCCCGGGTTCCTGCGTTTCGTTCAGCAGATCACCGGGACTCCGTCTGTGTTGAAGATCATGCCGGTGGTGGGTTCGTAGGTGCCGGCCAGGTAGTAGAGGTCCTCGCTGTCGGCGTAGCGGCGTGTGTGCGTCATCTGCTCGTACTCCTCCACGCTGACCACCAGGCACTTGTGGCTGACCGTCTGCACGTCGTTCTCGTCGCTGTGAGACGACTGGTACAGGGCCCGCTGTGACAGAGGCAGAGGAGTTTATAAAAAAACTTCATTCATCTATATTTGGCATTAAACATCTGCTTCTTCTCTGATCAAACTCGACATTTTACTGCGATGTCTTGTCATCTAAAATACCTGAAAACACAGACGGAATGTAGTGCAACAAAATCTAGAGCCAAAGATACAAAACCAGAGGACTTTATATAATCAGTGTTTACCGTTTATTATTTTAATAGAGTAAAAAAAAGTGTATGTAGCTTCAAGGCAGGGTTGGGAAGTTTCTCTCGTAGATTTTGGTTGAAATGGTCTTTAGGGTCAGCAGTTGTAAGCCTGTAAAAACTTCCACCAATGTCTGCTCCAAGGCACCAATCTGATGAACCAATCACTGCCTCCCTGCTCGCTCTCTACACCTTTTGTACACTAGAACACGCTCAAAGTGCGTCACAGATAACAGAGTTTACACTGTGAGTTTTGTCATGGCCCGTTGTGAGTAGTAAAATAGTCACTTTATTTTTCACATGTATTATGATTTAGTAGTTTCTACACAATGCCAGTGATGAGCACGCTCTCGAGGAGTAAATGGGGCGCACGCACTAACCATTAGGCTCCTGGTGGCGCCCCCTAATTACCTTTTTTATATAAATATTTAATGCCCATTTCATTAATTTAACAAATTGCATTTCTTGTGATATTTTGGTACAGTCAACACATCTTAGAGTCCGCTTTGTGACTCCGTGTTGTCTAACCTCTACATTCAGGTCCTTCGACAAATTAATTTGGGGTTTTAAACCGTGAAGATCAGAGCTGATATACACAGGCAAATAAAATAAAAACATATTATAAACATAGTAGATTTATTCCTCACCTCCATGAAGTCTTTCCTCTGGATAGAAGAGTGCAGAGCTGCTGGTAGAGACTGACCACACATCTGATCCCAGTTCTGAAGAGAGAAGTAGTCTTAGCAAAACGCCTCAAACGTATCGCACAGGAAAACATGCTTTCAGTGTGAAACTTCATTCTGTGACTTAATGTTCACATGTAACTCTTACATTATTATTATCTTGCTTTTTCTTTTTTTTTTTTGATGATACAGCAAAGATGAAAGGATTGTGGTGTGACTCTTGTAGTCATAAAACTGAATCAGATGATTCAGTTTTCATGAATCACATGTCCTGAAAAGTAATACTGGTTCAAACATGTTGTGAGCATGAACTGATCCGATGATCTGTTTAGTCACATGAAACTATTCAACAACTATGAACACGCGGCTGCATGTTTGCCAGATTATTCTTCAGATTTTCATGCGAGTCATGCGAGAAAATCTTGACTGTAAAAGGTGTGAAGCTGTTTTGAAATATGAACTCTAATTCGATCATTTCAAAGAAAATCAGCCTGAATACTGTGTATATTCAGAAGCTGTTTCAAAGCTCCTACCTTCTTGTCGGTGAGTTTCTTGCCGGGGTTCGTCTCCTCCGGATGATAAAACCAGTTGACCCTGACCACCATGTTGCTGCCCCACGACTCCCACATGCTCTGGATGCGGCCGATGAAGGGCAGGTTGGGCCGGCCGGCCGAGAGGAACACGGCACAGTCGCCGATCCGGATCATCTCTCTGCCTCGCACGATGGCCTTGTAGAAGAGCTTCTTAGCTTTTCCTTTCATACCGCGTCTCTGAGGGGGGGAGAAGAAGAGGATCATCGCACAATGTCAACACTTCAATCAAATGTATTTTATTTGTATCATGGCTTTAATTCACGACAGATGTTCTCTCTGAAAATAACTAAGCTGGTTTTCTCATTATTAAGGATTAATTTGATCCAGCTTGTTTTCACTGGATACTTTCTAAGTCGGAATAGAAAACAAAAACAACAGGCTGATCACTGAGAGGCCAGACCACGACATGCCGTGCCGCTACTGCCCACATTATTGTAAGTAAGTTGGGGGGGTTTTTTCACGATTTTTGCCTTTATTAGAGAGGACAGCTGAAGAGAGACAGGAAACATTGGGAGGGGAGAGCGTGGGATGAAATGCAGCAAAGGGGCCGAGGTCGGATTTGAACCCTCCGTCCCAGCCGCTAAGCTATCGGCTTGTTTCACACGCTTTCATAACGCTGAGGACACGAGGATAAACACGTCGATATCTCGGAAAATTACGCGGAAATGACTTGCTATCACGGGAAACTGGAGTAAATAAAAAGTAAGGATGAATGTCCGCTTAGGGCTTCCGTACTCACTCTATCAAAATATCAAACAACATATATTAAAAAAATTAAATACAGAGGCTGTAGTCTTCCATGCGGGCGGCCCAGGTTTGAATCCCACCTGTGGCTCCTTTCCCACATGTCATCCTCTCTCTCTCTCTCTCTCTCTCTCTCTCTCTCTCTGATTTCCAACTCTATCCACTGTCCTATCTCTAAATCAAAGGCACAAAAAGCCCAAAATTAAATCTTTAAAAAATAAAAAAATTGACCTTCATGTCTCTCACCTGTGTCGGTTTCCCAAACCACTTCCACAGCTGCCTGGCTGGGAGGAAGGCGGAGATTTTGGGCCGGTTCTCCACGCTGGGGAGCCTCTGACGCTTCGCGAGCTCCTTGGTTGTGGGGAGGTGAACGCCCTCTCTGCGCTTGGGTCTCCCCACTTTCCCCTCCCCTCCGCTGGGCTTCGGTTTGGGAGGCCGCCCCCTCTGTCCCGACCCCTTCCCCGTCGCTGGTTTTGCAGGTTTGGCCGGAGTATCGGGGGTCGGAGAGGATGAAGGGGAGGTAGAGCGTGAGGGTGGAGAAAGCTCTTCTTCGTCTTCTACTTTTAACTCCGCCTCCTTCTCCGTATCGTCACTCTCTTCCTCCTCCTCCTCCTCCGGTCCTTCCTTCTGTTTCTCCTGCGCTGGAGCAGAGGAGGCGGGGGCCGGAGTAGGGGTCGGGGTCCTCTCTTCGTCCGAGCTGCAGGAGGAGTCATCGGTGGACGACGACGACGACGACGAAGACGATGAAGAAGAGGAGGAGGAACCGGAGCAGGATGAAGAGGAGGAGGAGCAGCTTGACGTGCACTTCTTCTTTTTCTTCATCTTCCCTTTCTTTCCTTCCTCCTCCGACTCGGAGCTGCTGCTGCTCTGAGACTCCTCCTTCACCTTCACCTTCCTCTCCTCTCGTTTCTCCGGCGGCTTCCTCTCTTCCTTTTTCACTTTCTCCTCCCTTGCCTCCACCTCTTGTCCTCTTCCTGCACCGCCACGACACTCCGCCTTCTCTTTAGCCAGCACGGAAGCTTTGTAGGAGGAGTCTTTCTCCGGAAGGACGGCCCCGCGATCTGGAGCTCTCGGTTTGGCCTTTAACAGCTTTTGATTGGCCGTGGCGATTGGGGTGTGGTCTCGCCTGACGCCCCGCCCCTCCAGCAGCATCAGAGCCTTCGTCTTCTTGGTTTTCGGGGAGGTGACGCCTTCGTGGTCCAGCTTCACCAGGGGCTCCGCCGACTTGCGCCTCACCAAAGAGCCCATGTCACTCTTCCCTGATCCAGATTTGGGTCTGGAGACGGAGGAGAGCTGCTCGGACGGAATCTTCAGTTTGGGTCTGGGGGCCGACGAGGAGGACAACGACGACGATGAAGGCCTGTGAGTCAGCGAGGAGGAAGGTTTGCCTGCAGGGAGCCTGGAGATGGAGCCGAGCCCAGAGCCGAGGCTGGGTCTGGAGCTGCTGTGGTGGTCCAAGGAGGGTTTAGTTTTGGAAGCAGAAGAGGGTCTGGGTAAGGATCCAGGTTTGGGTGCAGATGATGATGTCACCAAACTGGGTCTGGATATTGGCCTGTTATTAGACGGACTGACGCTGCTTAGGGTTTCTCTGCGCTGGTTGTTGTACGAGCTCAGGTTGGGCTCGCTGTACAGATCCACAGTCAGGACTTTCCCGTAGGTGTTTGGATAGAGGGACGGAGGGAGAGAGCGGGTCGGCTTAAGAGCTGGAGGCTGGGAGGAGCTAGACTTTCTGGGAACGAGGTTGGGCAGGGTGGGGCTACTTGTCGGGGTCGGGGCGGAGTTGGTGCGGCCCGGCTTTGCCTGCATGGTCGGCCGTGACGCTGGACGGGGCTTCTCGTTAGCTGCTTTCTGGACAGAGGAGGACCGGTCCTGAGAAGGTTTGGAAGCAGTCGGGGGTCTGTCGGCCGGCTGGATGGAGCAGGATGGAGGCTCAGATTTCTCATGGCTTTCTTGGATCATAGAGGTGTCTAGAAAAAAAAACAAGTAAAAAGGACACATTTGAAATCTGAATGGGTTTACTCCAGATGTGCTGACGTTTTCATCGCGTGGCTGCATGATTTTTTATTTATTTTTTCATGTGGTTTGCAGCGCTCGACAAATGAAAACTGCTGATGCAGTCGAAACAAAGCCACTACTGCAAAATCAGACATTCACCGTTGCCATATATCATCACAGCTAAAGTAATCAACCCTGAGCTACAACAACAAAAAGTGTTTCATTAAACATGACGGCCGCGGTCCAATATGAGACGTTGGATGAAAGAGCCGTCTGAGCCTCGATCTATTTTAGTGCTGTTGTTCTTTAAAGACCACAAAGACTCGTCAAAACATGAGCAATGAAAGAAAAGTGAAGTTTAGCTCTTTAATGGTCTCTATGATATCTTTAAGTTAAAATCGGGGGAAGAAAGAAACAGCATGTAAGTACTTCTATTAATACATCAGCACAAATCAAGTCCATTTGGAGCACTGAGCCAAATCATCTGAGTGAAATCTTTCTCCCTTTTGGACTATGTTTAGACAATTAATAAAAATAATAATAATACATTGAATTTGAAGAGTTCACTTGCATAAACAGATAAATGCCTTTCTGATAAGCGGCTTTCTAATCCAAAATCTGTTCTGGTGCAAAACCCGAACACATTTCTGCCATCAAATTCCCCCGATGCTAAAGAGTTAGCTAAACTCAGACTCAGAGGTTAGTGTTTGTTAGTGGGATAAGCAGCTGGATGATAACAACACGTAGAAAGTGAAGTAATGACGGTAACTTGCACATTAAAAAAAAAAAAGAACTAATAAAGTCGTTGCAGAGCGATCGGGCTGAGTCGCTCACCTGGTTTAGGTTTGGGTTTGCGTCCAGGTTTTCCTTTGATCTTGGGAGCGCTCTCCTCCGGCTTCTTCCCCGCCTCTTTGCCTTCTTTGCTGCACTTGCGGACTCGCCGCCGAGAGCAGCTGGCCACAAGCAGGGCAGGGGACGGCTCCGCGCCTGCACACAAGCACAGAAGCACAGAAGACAGCGGGCTTTAAGTTTCTCTGAAGAACTCAACCTTTATGCTTTTCATGCTTTCATCTCGGGCTGCAGGGAATTTCAGCTATTCCAACAAGTGAAAAAAAAAAAAGAAAGGGAATAAAGGCCTGCCCTTAACTGTTACTGCAGAACAATCATTTGGACCAAGATGATCAGCTCTGTGTGCGTGTGTGCGTGTGTGTGTGTGTGTGTACTCTATACTGTTTATACAAAAATCAACAGTTTGGAAGCACTTTTCTTAGAAAAAGAGAAATATTTATATACTAGCTTCTCAAGGCTGAAATCAACGAAAGCTTTCCCAGAGAGAGAGGACTAATGTTGTTCTTTTAGGCAGAGTGTTTTTCTCTCTCCACCTAGAAGCCTTGTTCTTCACTCTATTTGATTTGAACCATGTGAAACCAGCTTTAGATCTTCATTTGCTTCATTTACATCTACATAAACATAGATACCACAGATGTTTACTTACTGTTTTGTTCTTTCCCATATCATTTAAATACCTTTACTTACAGACTCTGATTCCAGTAATATAAAAAAAACAAAAACATTTTATCTTTTTTAAACAGCTGCATACGATATACTTAGCCATTGCTCAGAACTCTGAAGAAATTCTAACCAAGAAACAAGCAGTGCTAAAGTTAGCGGTTGCTAATCTGACGATAGTGCGTGTGTGTGTGTGTGTGCTCACAGTGGATCTTGTAGTCTGGGGGCAGCAGCCTGATGTGGGAGAGGGGGATGCGTCCGTGTCGCCATCGTCAAACTCCACCGTGATGAGGTCGTCATTCTCATCGATATCCGAACTCCCTGTTTGCAAAAAAAGCAAAAAAAAAGTAATCAAAAGATGTTTGACATGTACTTAAAAGCCACGTTGTTGTAATGCACATTTTATGGTTTTTATACATGTTTTATACAACCCTAAGCCTGCAAAGTGGAGTGTATGAAGGTATGCTGTATGGCATTAGCAAAAAAAAAACACAAAATCAAGATATTTGTGAAATATCGCTCAAACATCCAGAATCTGTTTGGGTTTCATGCTCTTGTTGTTATTATTTTAGGGGTGCTGAGATGGAATTTAGAGCTGCCATAGAACCCTGACTTAAAGTGACAGCTATCGTTGGGTTACATTAACTAGCAAATGTTAGGTAATTAGTCCCCACATTTACTTTAATGATTAAGTATTTCTAACCCAGTCACACCAAAAATACAAATAGCTGTCTGTGCTTTTGTAGGTTTTCATTGGAGCTAATCTGAGGCTAATTTTGTAAAGTTTTCTGTCTGCTATGTGGTTGCTTTTTTTGCACAATAACTCTTGAGATTTGAGTGGAAAAAAAAGCATGAGCAGACTCTTCTTTACCGATGAGAACACTTGTTGAATTCTTATTACTCATTGCAGTAAATCTTGCTGACTGGAACAAGAACAGACCTTCAGCGGTTCATGTTTCTCTCACATCTCTCTGCCCCGCACACTGAACGGGCAAGCTCTGTTAGCTTCGTTCACGTTTGTTTGCGCTGCCAGCTACGATTAAACGGTAAACATGCGGGAGTAATAATGAATCATAACATGTAGGTGTTGGGTGTGTGCGTGTTTGCATGTTGCTGCCGTACCGTTGACAACAGTGCCGGGGTAGAGGCAGCGGTACTGCTGGCTCCAGTAGGCAGCGATGCGGGTGCCCTCTGGGAGGTAGCGCACGGACGGAGGCTTCACATCGATGATCTGCGCGCACACAAGGAAGAACTTTTAAGATGTCAACACAAAAACACAGCGTCCACCCTCCTCACGCTCAGGCAGAGATTATTTCAACAGGGGCCGACTTTGGATAAAACGCTTTTTCTAACGCCTGTTATGTCTCACAAACATACGTCACAAAAACCAGAGATGTAGAGGCTTTGGTAATCTGACTCACCGCCTCCTGCAGCAGTTGTTCCAAGCAGTAGATGTGCGGCCGGTTCCCTCTCTCCCCTTCCACCACCACGCTGTATCTGCACACAGATAAAATGTGAGAAAAGGGGTCACTGGGAGGTCAGGGACACAGCACTCAAATCTGATCTTTGTTATCCGTTTTGACGTGTGGCAGGCTGGGTATGTGTCGTCTTCAGTTTACAACCTCCACAATACTTTGGCTCTATGGAACATGTTGTCCACAGCAGAGCATAGGTAACACCCTCCTGTTTATTCTGAACACAGTTGAACTCTTTTGTGTCTTTTAATTGAGCCAGTTTGATTTGAACGTCAACTTTGATTGGAATGTAAATATGAAGCTTCAGACAGCATCATGTTAGCAAAAAAAAAAAAGAGTTAGCCTGGCTCAGTCTAGATGGTAGCCTCCTTAACTTGTTTTGTCCTTTTAGGACAGCCTGTCGCTCAGGGTCTAGATGACTATAGATGACATGCACATTTATATTCCTGATTAGAACAGATATGAGCTGCTGATACCAGATTTTGTTTTTTGTTTTTTTAACCAGACTGTTAACATGTTTATTTCTCCTGCCAAAATGGACATTTTATTATGGTTGTTAAAGCGACTTTTGCAGCCGGCTTCAAGTGGACAGGTGAGGAAGTGCACCACAATTGTTTACTTTTGGTATTTGTAAGCAGTACACCTTTCCAACGTTTCATCGGTGTGTGACACTTCCTCCTGTTCAGTTGAAAATCCCTGCTCTTTGTCTACTCACATGTCGGGGGAGTGCACGGTGTTCACATGTCCTGCATACAGCAGCTGGTCGTCCATGGGGATCAAAACTCTGAGACCGTCCACCAGAGAATCTTTATCCAACACGCACTGCACCGGAGCTAAAAACAAACACAAAACACATGTAATAGATGAGCCTCTCAGTGCTGAGTGTGTAGAGGAGGTGTTAGATTTTCGTCTGGTGTCTGTACCAGGTGTGGAGGAGCGCTCTGAAACACTCTTCCTGCACTGTGGAAGGAGTTCATCCTCGCTGAAGCTGCTGTCCTGGTTCGGCTCGAAGTCTTCGTCTGCCGCCATGCTCTCCATCAGCCGGCTCACCGCTCCTCTGGGCGGCTGCAGAAACACAAGAGGGCTTTCATTAACTACTAGTAATTATCCGTTTTTATTTCAATAAATTTGATCTGAAATTCACTTTTTTTTTAACTGAATGTACTTTAAAAACCCACAAACTAATTAGCTCAAGACATATATTCACACATTTTGAAAACACCAACTCATTCATCACACACACATGTATCCTTCAAATAAAGGTAAGGTAGTCTCTTTTCTTTTACTTAAACGACTATTAAAAGGGGAAACCTAATTGCCTGAAATGAGTTACTTAGTATCTAACAACCACGTACACGTTTCTTTCCTCCAACACTATTAATTATCCATTTAAAGGGGTAAAATTATCTTGTATCCTGAAATGTGTTCCTTCATGTCCCAAAAACGAATAAAAAATGATGATGTTGAAATGATCCTGCTACTTAAGGTCAATTAAAAGCGCAGTTACACACCACTTATCAACTTTTCAACGTATTACAGCACTAATGCTGTTGAGTACACTTTCTTCTTCCACCACCACAAAGAGCTGTGCACACACACACACACACTGTAGCCGCCTCGAGTGTTTCCAAAACAAACTCAAGTTGTGGCTGCTGGCAGATGGAGTTTATTATTTTTTCTATCACTAACACGATAAAAGCAGATCTGAACAGAAGCTAACAGTTAGACTTTCAGGGTTTATTGTGTGTGTGTGTGTGTGTGTGTGTGTGTGTGTGTGTGTGTGTGTGTGTGTGTGCATGTGTTTGCAAGCCAGTCAGTAAGGCAGAGTGTGAGCGTGCCAATGCAGCGCTAATAAACTAAAAGATTCTGGTCTTGTCCTTAACCAGGGTAATTAAGTTCACATCTATAATGGTTCTGCAGCTGATCCATCATCCCACTGACCTCTCTGGTCTTGGTTTTAGCTTTCGGTTGGCTCTTGAGTGCCGGGCTGAGGCTCAGTGGCGCGGGGACGTCTGTGATTGGACTACACAGAGAGGATGGGCTCAGAGGCAGAGGAGAGTCCTTCAGCTTCTTTTTCTGAGTTTCACAACACACAGAAAGGTTTGCATATGAACCACTACACTGAGGATGTACCAGATAGATTTATGTCTTTAGACACACACACACACACACACACACACACACACACACACACTGAGGGTGGGACGCTGCCTGCAGTTGTCCTTTCTTGTCAGCAACACGACACAGACAGCAGGGGAGTGCTGCAGTGACTGAAGTAGTGGGAAACCCTGCTGGCACTCTGACACACACACTTAAACGCACACTCTCTCACACACACAGGGGTGTCAGGGGCATCGTGAGGGTAGCAGAGTTTAAGGAAGGAGGAGGAGGAGAGAAAAGGAGTAAGAGGGAAGAAAAAGGAAGATGTCAAAGAGAAGAGGAGATCAAAAACACCGCAGGCTCTTTGTTTTCGTCTCAGCTGGTGCATAACAACCCAATAAATTATTGACGTACTTTCACCACATCTTTCCCCTCTCTGCTGGGTGCAGTGGGTTTGGATTTGGAGGCGGGCTTCGGCGTGAGAGACGGGAGGCTGGAGGAGGAGGTAGAGGAGGACGAGGAGGAGCTCTGGCAGGTGGAAGAGGAGGAGCTCTGGCTGGTGGAAGACGGGGTCGGTGTGGACGTATGGCCGGCCGTGGTCGTGGCGTCGTGAAGGAAAATCCTCTCGCTGCGTCGCCTGTTCCACCCCTCATCCTCGCTGAAGCCCCACAGCCCGCTCGCGTTCAGGTCCAAGCTAAATCGCCGCGGGGAGCGCGTTGAGGGGCGGGGTTTGGGTAAGGGCTTGCGTTTGATTTCGTCTCTTTTGTGGGGCTGGCCTGGTCGTTGCGGCGGGTCACGGGGGGCAACAGGGGGAGCTCAGGGGCGGAGCGTTTGCCGTGCATTAGAGAGGGGAACTTCCTCAGCCGCAAGTCCGACCCAGAGTCCGACCACTCGCACTCTGAAGACCCTGAGGTAAGAGAGCAGAGGGTCACGTAATGTTGTCACACACAAACACACCCGTACAGAATACAGGCCCCTCCCTAAAACATGCAGCCAGCAGTAAAGCCAGGTGTTAGATTCTCTGAAATCAATAACCCGGGAACAGGAGTATTGACCAAATTTCAAATCCATACATAATTTCAAGCCCGGATCGTTACACGCACCCTCGTGTGACAATTAGAAATAAATTAATATGTAGCCGTGAATCAATAACACAATCCTGGACAAATGGTCAGGCGGAGAACCCGCTCAACCGCAAAAAAACACAATAATGTGCTAAAAGCTGTCGGGGGGAATCTGTGAGAAGAGTGTAAACAGGAACACACTCGCCTATAGAATGTGATGAGGAAAACCAAGATCACTGTGTTATCTATAATTCTCCAGGTATGTAATTGAATAAATGTTTTAGATTTTCTTTCATTCCAGCTACTTAAATGTCAAAAATATGTTCCTTTTTGAGAGTACACTGAATATATTTGAGTGGTGGAAAAAAAACAAGACATCTCATTATGATCTTGTACGGAAGCCTGAAGAGGACACGCGTCCATACATTTCATTTATTCCCATTTATAGTGGGAGTTATCTCTGGTTGTTTTCTCAAAATATTAACTTATTTATCTTGTATCGTCAGGGAAACAAGCATTGAAAAAGTACGGTGGCTGGGAAGTGCAAAACAAAATTACAAATGCGAGACAAATTTACATTTTGAAAAACCTTTTTACATTTTTAGAAACACTTACACCAAGGAAAAAACACATTTACACTTTATAAAACAGATTTACAAGATGTGAAACACTTTTACAATCGATGAGACAAATTTACAAAACGTCAGAATCTTGACAAAATGGGAACGTACCAAATGTCGGAAGTGACCCGGTAGGAAGTGATCGATTGAGGGGTCATTTTGTTTGTTTTGTTTTGTTTTTATGCGGTACATTCCCTTTCCGTCAAGATTCTGTCGTTTGTAAATTTGTCTCAGCGATTGTGAAAGTGTTTCACATCTTGGCACATCAATTTTGTTTTGTCCTCAGTAAGTGTTTTTGGTTTTGCAATTTTGTTTCATAAAATGTGAAAATGTTTTTCAAAATGTAAATTTGTCTCACATTTTGTAAGTGTTTTAACACTTTGTAATTTTGCTTTGCACTTCCCAGCCACCGTACAATAGCCTTTCTATTGGGTCTTAACACTCACCCGCCCTGAAGAAGAAACTGGTCAGCATTTTTCTCCTGTTTGTGTTTGATTTTTATTGACATAAGCCCTCGTTTATTAAAGTCATATTTACATTATCCTTGTCTCTAAGCCAGTGTGCCTGAAGATATCCTTCCTTAAGTTTAAATGCATGTCTGCTTCGGGCTTCCGTAGATCAACTTTTTTTTAAACTTTTTTCTGACATTAGTGATCAAACATTTCATTAAGACGATTGAAGCCTGATTAATCAACCACTAATGCTCCAGCTTATTTACACAAGACACATTTGGATCTCTCTTGTGTTTGAGTTACCCAGAGTGCTCTGCAGGCTTCGGTGTTTACCATCGTGGAGAAGGCTTAACGGCGTGGAGCTGACAGGGAGCGCGCTCGCCGCAAACCTAGCCAGCAGACCCAGCCCGCTCTCCTCACAGGCGCCGTCATCGTCCGAATCTGTCTCGTCTTCCTCATCATCATCATCTTCCTCAGAGGTTTCTGAGTCAGAAGAGAGATTTTCAGCTCAGAGAGACATGTGACTGGAGAACGGCTCAGGGTTAAGAGGCCAAAAAAAACACTTCCTCGACACACAGACTGGACCGCAGAGACAAAGAATGCAAGACTGTCAAGATATCACTTCTTTTTTTTTTAAAGTACAACTACGCCTGAAATGAACACTGTAGAAAACAGAAATACAGTAGCCTAGATATTGTAATACCAGGCCATCTAAAACACACACACACACACACACACACACACAATCCCATTAATCTGTGTCTTACATGTAGGCTGAACAGACAAAAAAGTGGAAAGAGAATAAATCGACTGTCCAAACCACTGCAGCTTCCACTTGCACTTAAACGCTGTGTTGGCAAGATACAGCAGGAAGAATTGAGATTTACACACACTTACACACACACACACACACACACACACACACACACACACTAAGCCACACACACCGAAACACACACAAACAGAGTCTGGAACATTTCAGCTGAAGTGGACTCAGATGTATTTCATTATTTGAGAGGAAAAACATCAGAAACTGCACAACAAAACACACATTAACATGCTGCTGTTAGCTCTGTCTCGCTAGCAGTTAGCAGTTAGGTTCATGGCAGCAGAAGAGCAGGAGGAGCGTCTCCACAGGGGTTAGTGTTAACATCGAGGGTGGATACACAGTACAACACCTTTCAACCACTGGCTGGCATTCACTCGTATTGTTCTTTAGTCTTACTGTGGGGGAAAAACTAGGTTGTTGTAAGTTAGCCACATTTCTCTTAAAGCAAATGAACAATACTCGGTGTAATTTGACGCTTCAGTCAAGTCAAAAAAAAGTAGAATTTGAAGTTTTTTTTTTACATATTGTACTGTGAATCCACTTTGTGTTAACGGCAGCAAGCAGAAGACAAAAGGAGGCAGGCACTGAGAGGACAGCCCTGTGAGGCCCCCTTGACATAATGTTCAAATGACGTTTGAGCCATCATGCTTGCACCCTCAGTCCCTTTCAAAGCCTCTTTCTTCAACTTTAAAAAAAAAAAAAAAACATGGGACAGGGGAGTAACCATGATTCTTATTAGAGAGCTTTAATTTGTGAGATCAATAAAAAAAAAAAGTTTTATTCTGTGTGTTCAATTTCAGCATAGCCCATGTTAGCGGTCAATAAAGAATAGAGGGAGGGGCACTTCCTACTTACAGAGCAGGTGACAGGGGTGTGGCCTCAGACAGGGCAGGGGGGCAGCGCGGCGGCCTAGCCAGTAGCGTAGCTTGGCCTTAACGCGGTCAAGCTTAAGCAGAGCTTTAGCCACGGCAGCGGAGACTAGCCGTAGCGAGGTAGCGCTAGTCAAGCTTCTGTAAATGTTGCAGCGGCACAAGCACATGGAACAGGAACAAGAGACACTCAAAGCATCATGGGTAGGAGCAGGGGGGGGGGGGGGGGTGAAGGTGAGAAGACAGAGCAAGGTGTTTCTGAGAGCAACGTAAAAGGGGAGAAGGGTTATTTGAAGGTTTAGTAGACACACAGGAGGAGCTCTATTGTCCAAATATCCCCAAAAATCCAAGATTTAAAAGTTTGAATTGAGCTCTAGTGCTTTTATATCAACAAAAATAAACTGGACCACATCATCAAAAAAAAACACTTAATTGGATTTGAGTTAACCAAACGATGCTTCAAATGAGAGTTATTTGTCTTTACTTACTTGCCAGGTTACATTCAGCTCTGTGTTCTCTGAACTAATCGCTTGCATGTGTTTCAGTTTACCCAAATGTGAACCTTAACCTGAGGAGCGTTTTTCTCTGGAGGGATATTTGACAAACAGAGCAGCCTAAAGGATGTGTGAGGTGCTGCTGGACAGATCGAGACAGACAGACAGATGAAGCAGACACAAGGACCACAGCGCTTCACTTTCTGTGCCAATCAAATTAACACCTTTAATAAATCTTATAGGTACCAAAAAAACTGCAATACAACTTTTATGAAAAAAATCTCACAATTCACACAAATAGTCAATGTACAAATGCTACAAATTTGCAATCCAGGCAATAAAAAAACACCATAGAAATAGGTCAATCGTTTTTTTTTTTTGTTTTTTTTTTTTTTAAAAAGGCAGCTTTGCAGAAAAGCAATAGAGGTAGGGACGGTCGAGCTAACGCACAGTCTGAGAGAAGATGCCATAGCGAAAATGAAAACAAAGACACAAGCTGTGACAAGGCTCAGACACACACTTCTGTTTGACTCTACAGCGTGGGGCGGGGTCAGGGGGAGCGGGAGGGGGAGGGGGAGCGGGAGCGGGGGGTGCTGTGAGATTTGGTCAGTAACCTTGGTCGAAGGAGTCGTCAGAGGAGCTGAGGCCAGCTTCCTCCAGCAGCAGCGATAAGTGCTTGTGTTTCTTCTTCTGAGACTTCTGCCTGGACAGCAGGGAGGTTGGCGAAGACTCAGGACGCCTCTTCCTGTTCGGGTCTCCGTGTGGATGCGTCCCTGAAAGAGAGGGCCAGCCCCCTCGGGCAGAATTGTGTTCCTCTGAATCTGAGTCTGGTGCAGAAAAGGTTTGGTTAGTGATGGAAATCCTTAACGGAGACTAATCTTCAGATTTAACCTAAACTCACTTATTCTGATTTAAGATCAACCTAACTTGAAGTTCACATACGTTCGACCCTGCCATCGAGTGCAGACATGAACGTTTAAAAAGGATAAATAAAAGAATAAATATTTGTCATTAACTAGCCTCAAATGTATGATATGTTTAAAACACATTTATGATCTGTGTTATTTCTACTAACTTTGTCACATGGATTTTGAAAAAGATCTCTAAACAAAAGGTTACAAAATTCTTCATCAGGAAACTCAAAGAGTGTTTGTCAACTTTAAGAGGATTTGTTCAAACTGCTTTAGCGAGTGTCTTGACAAAAAAACTCTGCAGCTGAGGACAAATGAATGTTTTGGCTGCGTCTGAAGAATGACTTTGACTCAATTAGTTTGCATCGGAAAGTGCGAGATACAAAGCTGTCGTATCAAGATTGTTGCTCATTGTTGTGTACTCACTGTTGGAGCAGCTGCTGAGCTCTGACCTCATCGGAGAGAACAGAGCAGTCTTCTTCTGACCTTTCAGCTTTCGGACGTTCTCCAAAGAAGAAGGAGAAGGAGCCTTGGCGGCAATCTTGTGTTTCCCCGCCTTGGCGGACGAATGGACGCTGCGCTCCTTCATCCGACTCTCCGTCGACTTGCCTTTGGACTTGTCCGACTTCGAGCTGGAGGAGAGCTTGCGAGGCACGTTCAGCGAGCTGAGCTGCGAGAGGGAGAGTGCTCTGTTGAGGTCTGACGCCAGCTGCTCTTGCTCACACAAGTGGCCGTGCTTCGACTTCAAAACCTGACCACCAGTGAAAAAAAAGAAATATTAGTAAATTGGATTAAAAAAAACAACACTATGATAAAATATGGACCTGAAAAAGGCCTACCTCCAAAGCATTACTGGTTGACGGCTCCTGGTCGTTCCAGCTCTTCTTCTTCTTCTTCTTTTTCTTTTTCACCTTCACTCCTACACTTCCCGTCTCGGTGTCCTCTTCTTCTCGGGACAGCCCGAACCTTTTCCTCTGTCCATCCCCAGCTTCAGAGTCCTCAGAGTATTGCACTGTCCTACTGACCCTGAGACGAAAGAATATTTTCACTGTGTTGCACACGCAAACAAAAAAAAAAAAAAAAGAGCATGCAATAAGAAACACTTGGAAGAAATGGTCGAAATTGGAAAATAAAAAAAATCTCACTCACTTTGCAGGCCTGCTTTCCAGCTTGGGGGGTGTGGTTAGGTGTTTTCTCTTCCTGGGTCGTCCTCTGCCCCGTCTGGTCAGACTCCGCCTCTCATCCTCCTGTTGGTGCCGCTCACTGGAAGCATAAGAGTCAGGGGGAATGATTGAGTACAACGTGAATTTCCAGGTAAAAGCAGCCATGTGAGAGCGTTAAGATTTACTCACCACTTGTCTGTGCGTCTCTGCAGCTTGCTCAGATCTCTCTGCTTCTCCTTGTACGTCTTCTGCAGCTCGGCTAGGCGGACGCGGTATTCCACCTCCACTGCGTCCATTACGTCCAGAGACATTTTACTGAAGAGCTGCAGAGAGCGAGAGAGAGAGAGAGAGGAAAAAAAAAACCAGTGAGGACATTTCACAAAAAACTATGACACATGTTAACTTCTCTAGTGACTGTGACGTTTGTCTCCATCTTACCGGCTCCTCCTTCCTCTGCCTCCAGCTGTACTTCTTGTTGGGGTCCAGTGTTCTGGACAGGTCGATGTGGGACTGTTTCTCGATGGCCTCCAGCAAAATCTGTCTGCTCGCTTCCAGAAGACAGTCCAAACCCTCTAAAGTCAGATCTGAGTGGGATGCAGACGATAAATCAGAAAAAAAATAAGCATTCACAATATTCATAAGACTCGACTGTATTTGAGCTAGGTACCCTGAGAAATATGTCCATGCTGTCAATCAAACTTAATTGCCTCTTTTAAAAATGACCATAACAACAACATTTTCAACATATCTTCTGGACTGGCTTCATTCCTTCCTGCTGTAACGCCTTCAAATGTACTCACCTTGCCCTTGGTTCATTTGCTCCATCTCCTTCTGGGCCATTTGGCTGAGCAGCGCCATCCCTTCCAGTGCCACCAGCTCCAAAGCACCCGTGCTGCTGCAGTCTAAGCCTAAAAGAGAATTTTCTATGTGTGGTAAGGGTGCCGGGGCGGGCGGCGTGCTGGGGTGCGCCTGGGCCATCTCACTGGCTGTCAGCAGCGCGAGCATCCCGGCCATGGGATCCTCTGGACTGATGAGCAAGGGGAGCCGGGAGTTGGCGTGGTGAGGAGGGTAAACAGGAGTTTCAGTGACACTTTCTTTCTGAACGGGAGTTTGCGAGTTGATGTGCGTGTCTGGCTGTTCTTGTTCACACCCACTGGATTGTACCAGCGGCAGAGCCGACTCCTCGCTGTCAGGGTCTGAAGCCATGCGGGGATATCGTTCTGGGTTCTTGTCTACCTCTGGTTTAGGCTCCTCTACGAGCAGAGGAGGCGGGGGGAAAGCTGCCTGACAGGAGTAAGATAAAACCTCCACTTTGATTTCACCTCTGTCCTTCTCCTCCTCCCTGTGTTCTTGAAGTCTTTCCGCCTGCTGCAGCGGAGCGCTCGGAACAAGCAGAGGTAGTGGTTGGGGAAGAAGGGGCTTCGGGGCGTCTCTCCCCCTGTCCTCGGCGGCCAGAGCTGGACTGAAGCCCCGCCGGAGAGGACTCCTCATGTCGAGGAGCTGCTGCTCGGGGATGGGCTCCTGCTTGAGGAAAGATGCCGTCTTTGAAGGCTCCAGTTGTTGTGGCTTGACGTCTGCGTCCAGCTGCCGTGGATGGAGGTGGGCTAAAGGAGGAGGGGCTGAAGGTGCGGGGGAGCGGGAGTGATGCGGTGGTAAAACCTCTGTGTTTGCTCCAGCGGGTGCTGGGATGTGATAAGGGGGGAAAGGCGAGCCAAACGGGGCAGTAATGGACTGGTAAGGGTAACTTGGAGAGAGATCTGTAGAGTGAAGAAGAGGAAACAGAAAATAGTGAACGACAGATCAATCTGACCAACAAGACCTCTGGAGCTTTTGCTGCCAGCCTCCTGTGAGACGATAATGTTCCTGCATTTCTCAGGTAGTCAACAAGCTGATAACACATCAGTCAGTAATTCAGCGTCTCTACACTTCTCATGCTAAGCTAACGCGAGCGTAAGCAGCCGTCTCACCAGAGTAGATCCCTTGAAACGCCGCCGAAGCCGACTTCTGCCCACACCTCTGCTCCCGCCGCCCCGCCTCGCCCTCCTCGGTCGCCTCCTGTTTAGGCCGCCGCGGCGAGGAGGGGGGCGGGGAGGCGGAGCGCGGGGAAGGCGGGTGAGGCAGGGGCATGGTCGACGGGCGCGACAACGCCCTCTGCCGCCCTCCTCGGACTTCAGGGTGGTCACGGGCGAGGGGAGCAGCGGAGGCAGCGGCGTGAGGGAAGAGGACGACGGGGTTGGAGTGCGAGAGGGAGCGGGGTGCTTGCGGGGGTGCAGGATGGGCGACGGGGAATGGGACGATATGGAGGAGGGGCGGGGCTTTGGCTCGGCGTTCCGCTTGTCGGCTTTGTCTTCCATCTCCGGCCGGTGCTCGCTGGCCTTTAAACGCTCCTGAAAACACAGAGAAAGAGACAGTTCGGTGTAAGCTGTTTGGATGATGTGACAGATTCTTCTTCTTCAGGGTAAAAATATCACACTGTACTTGCTTTTTTAGACTTTCACTGGATGAATGACCTATTTATCCGACAATAAAGGATGTGCTAATAAAACTTTACAACACAACCAAACCATCAACTATCGCTCATGTAGTGTGTATGTTATATATATATATATTTGAAACAGAAAAATGCACGTGTCACTTCTGTGTTTTTTTTGGGGGGGGGGGGGGGTTTGACCTATAAACCAAAAAGTCCACTTACGACAAACTGTGCGTTCCTCTGCAGCTCGAGGACTTGCGCTGTGTGCTGTTGGATCATGAGCAGCTCCTGTTGTCGGAGCATCTGCTGCTGGGAGAGGAGCTGAAGCTGGGCCGCGTGCTGCAGCGAGCTGCTGGTGCCGTAAACCCCAGACCACACCGGGGCTCCACGCTCCAGAACGTCACCTCCTACAGAACAACACAGAATATTAAAAAAAATAATAACCTACAGCTACCTAAACCCTTTATCTTTGACTTTTAGCGAATGTATTTACACTGTTGGCCTTTTTACGTTTTCGCTCACTGCTTCAGCTGTTTGGCAATAAGTACATGATGATTCTGTAAGAACTACAACCTGTACTACAACTGTTCCTCTATCCATTTACAAGGTAGAGTAGACATCTGCAACTATTAACAATGACTTTCAGCTAACTATTAACTTTTCTTTTTACCGACAACATGTAGCTAACCTTATCTTCTATTTAAACATTACTCTTGGCTAACTTGTGTAGTCATAACTTTAGGTTACTTCTTTTTTTTTTTTACTAAAACTAGCTAATTATTGTGGATATTTATCCAATTCTTTCAGCCAACTATTTCCACTTTTTCTCTATGACTAACTATTTTAGACAAACATCTCATACTTTTGGCTTCAGGTCTTTATTGACATTACTTTTATAAGCTTACTACTTCCACTGTTTATCCATAACATCCATAACAGCTTTTTTTTTTTTCAAATATCAATTGTTTAAAATTCACAAGTGCATTCATATAAAAGAGAGATGAGCTTTTCATACCGTAGTGAGGAAGGTGTTCAGTGGGGATGACTATTAGCTGTCCGGATTGAGGGTCCCTGGCAAACTGGTACGGCGGGGGCATGGAGCCTTGCAGAGAGGGTGGGTATCCTGGGGGGAGGGACTGGTGGAGTGAGGACGGACCCAGGCCTGATTGAGAGACGAGAAGGAGAAAAAGTGTAAAGAAATACATTTTTAAAAAAAAAAATGGCACCGACGACAACAAAACAATAATCTCAGCCAAGTTAAAGCATCCATTCACTCAGCATCATTCTTCAGTCAGTATTTAAACACATATTCAATCCATAGTGGAGTTACATCAGCAAGAAAACATGCTGGATTAAGCTTCTTTTAGAGCTTTTCTTTATTCGACATCAGTGTCTAGACAGAGCAGGCCCTTGGGGAGTTCTGTGTAAGCATGCGTGTTGTCTTGATACAGTTTCTTATTTTTATTTGACTTTGACAGCGAAGCGCTGAAGGGGAAGGAATGTCCTGCAAAGATCAGGAATGTCCGAGCAACTCAACCCCTGGAGGCTGCTGCTGGACGAGCCGCTCGACAGTCAGACGGACAGAATTTACAACCTCTTTCTGCTACAACAATCACAACAGGCTGCGGAGGCTCAAGGGGAACTTTGAACATAAACCTCTCCATGGTGGTAAGAACAGAGGGAAGGAAAAAGATGCTAACTGAACAGGGCAAGTGCTGCTGGGTTTATTATATAACACACTGTACTGCTAATGGCATGCTAACACAAATCCAAAAACAAATCGCAAGAAGTTTGTCAAGTAATGCAACATAAATGTATATTTGTTTAATTCACAATTAATTCTAAAGAGGAGAGGTCTAAAAACTGAATATATAGACACAGATATAAAATCATCAATTTGAGATGCATACAATCTTACAGACGAGATGTTACAGAGTTGTTGATCAATATTTCAGCTGATTGATTTCTCGATTCTGAACTGATTGGATAATTTATTTCACCTATCAATATTCCCCAAATACAAGCGGTTCCATTTTTTGACATTTAAGGAGAGTGAAAATATCTCCACATACTGTACGGTGAGCCGGGGAGCCAGACTGGAGGGGCTCCAGGCCGGGTCATCCAGGGATGAGAAGTCAGATTTGAGTGGTCAGGAGGCCATCGCCCTGCCCCTGCCAGGGCGGCCCCTCCCGTCACCATGAGGTTAGGGGTCATGAGGCTGGGCGTCATTATACTCGACGTCAAGCCATTGGACAACGGGGTGGGGTGCATCTGAGTGAACTCTGCCAGCTCCTTGGACTCACTGGAAGGTTAAAGACACATCTTTATTTAATACAGTGAGTACAAATGATCACAAACAGTATCTGATAACCTTTCAAGCTTAAGGTTCAAAAAGTGGATTAAAAAATAAAATCCGCCACTCCCACACACCTGAGCACTTTCTCCTGCTCGCGCTCCAGCCGGCCTGCCAGCAGTCGCTCATCGTGGTGGCGAGCTCGCTCCTCTACTCGCTCCTCGTCTGCTCGGGCAAAGACGGAGAGAGAAAAATAAAATAAAATACAATAAAAGTGTTGAATGTTTATTCAGAAACTTCGATGTCAGTCACAACATCGGTGCAAATGGACACCAGTCATTCGCACTGACCGGGTGATGAGAGGGTTCCTTAGAAATCGTCAAGAAAAATGATTGCTGAAGAAGTTGGAAATGTTTTTTTGTTTTTTGTTGTTGTTTGTGGACAATTTTTTTTATTATTTTAACAGAATAAGAAGTTGGAAACGTTAATGTATACTACACATATGGGACCAGGGTTTTACGTATGTGCACCCATGTGCTGAAAAGAGAGAGAAAAAAAAAAGGATGACACTGGCTAGATAAGGGTGACACGGCAGAGCAAAGCTGGTAAGAGAGAAAAGCTAAAAAAAAATATATACAGTACATGTCGGGCCAAAGAGCGTGTGCACACACTCTGTACGACACGCATACACAGAAATAGAGTGACAGCTCTCACTCTGGGTGTCAGCTCTTATCAGTTATTAGTCTAGAGCCACAGGAGACGTGTGAACATACCACTACTGCCTCACTTTACACACACGCGTGCACACACACACACACACACACACACAGAGCCTTAAACCCATCCAGCTCGGGTTATAAAAGAAGCAGCACTCAACCAAGCACAGCAGAATAAACATGAGGAGCTTCTCTTCCCCCGTTATTCCGACTCATCCACGCAGGCTGAAGGTCCCCGAGCAGCTGGAAGTGTGCTCAACCCATCAGTTCTGCTCTAAAAGTGTGCGTGTGTGTGTGCTTGTGTGTGTGTGTGTGCAGCCTGTAAAAGGGACAAGAGACTTTAACCAACCCTGACATGCTCTGCAGGAAAGGTTTCAAGACTGTTTCCAAGGTTACGGGGAGCCTGTCCCACATGCTATCCTTTCTGCATCAGAAAGCCAGTGATTAGCGCTGCACGCCCCTCTCTCTCTCTCTCTCTCTCTCTCGCTCTCGCTCTCCATCTTACACACTCTTTTACGCTTCCTGACACACCTCTCTCTTCCTGTCTATCAACCAATCGATCTACGTCTATCTCTTATCATGAGCCTAGCCTTCTTTTCCTCCGTCCATCCAATCCGCTCATTCATATGCTTGTTTGTGTCGCTCTGTAAACCCGCCGCTAAGAGCTCCTCTTAGCGTGATAGTCTGATGCTAGACCAATCATTCTGCTCGAGCAAAGGAATGAATAAACGCCCACAAACACAACAGCAGCTCTTTCACACTCACACACACACACACACACACACACACACACAGTCCGTCAGTCTCAAGACTGATCCATTGCTTAGCAACACACCCTTTGGTCTTATTGTAATTCAAAGCTTGTTTGTAGCTTTTAGCTGCACTCGGTAATGATATGTTTAATGCAGAGAGGGTGGAGGTGGTCGAGCCGGAGAAAAGAGTGGAGAGGGGAAGGGAGGGAGAGAGAGAGAGGGACAGAAAGGGGAGAGTGAAACAGAAACGAGTGGAAAGACAAGAGATGGAGCGAGAGCAACGTCGCTGAATGACCTTGACGTCCAAGAATAGAGCGAAACAACACACCAGTCCAAAAAAAAAAAAAAAAAAGAGCGTTTCAACGACTAAAATCCAAGACGCAATCAGTAGTGTGGAGTGGAGGGGAGGGGAGAGGAGGGGAGGGGGGGGGGGTGGTGGTTCTGCCCTCCAATCATCCATAAGCACCTCAAAGCCATCAGTGCTGAGGAAACACGACTTTGAATCCAAAACAAAATGAATGGTTCATTATTCATGGAAGCCAAAATGAGGAGTCATTTGCTCTGGGTTCATCTAGCTGTGGGGATCGACGCTCCCCACAGTGTGATGCAGAGGAGCTGAGGAGACGGAGAACGAAAGCAAAAGCTGCAGAAAACATATTAAAAAGGCGTCTCGAATGAAGAAAAGTTCCCTTTATTTAGCTTCCCAGAAACGATTAAAGATTAAAGGAGACAGAGTGAATGGTTCCCTCGAGCATTTCAAACCTCTCCTCAACAAACCAGCGGCAAAACATCAGAACTGTTTTCTTTTTTTTTTAAACACGATTATAACAAATAAATGATCCTTTTTTTTTTTTTTTTATCAGTTTCTTTGCACCTCTTCTATTCAAATGAAAAAAAAACAAGATTTTGGGAGATATATTCTTGGAGCGTTTGCAGAAACGGACCGAATGGAAAACAAGCCATGTGAAGGTGTTACCTAAGACATGAGCCAGAAAGCTAACAGCATGTTAGCGAGATCAAGAAGACCGTCTACAGTTTTTCAGCACATTAGTGTTTCCAGCCTTGAAATTCTCCGTTTCTGTTTCATACTCTTTCGTAAAGTGTTGCTGGCATCAAATTCCAAAAATGGGCATTTCGTTTTCCCACAAACAAAAATCGTTTCTCAGCATCAAAATTTCACATGTGGCTTTTGTGCTATTTTCAGTTAAATATAAGGTTTCAATGTTCTGCCAATCATCACAATGTGTTTTGTTTACGTTTTGCACAACGTCTTAACTTCTTCTCAGGAAACAGGGTTTGTATTATTTGACGGTTTGTTTAACAACAATGACTCGCCAGCTTATCCGGCCGTGTCTTTGTCCCGACTCTCCTGCACAAATGATCGGCCGTGTTTACTGTCAACGCAGCCTGGAGTAGCAAGTGATAGTACGGGTATGTTTAGTGTGAGCGTAGAACAGCTTAGGTGTTCTCATGTCGTGCATAGAGGAGGAAGTCATAAAGCACTGCGTAGATTAACTCTGTTTGTATTTCTTCAGATGAGTCCAAGACATCAAATTTCTCATGATCTCAAAAATAAGCTTAAATATAGAATCAGTAGCTTTTTCCTACAAAAATAAAATATAGATTAACACTAAAATAAAGCCGTGCAATCATCCCTTATGGGCCTCCATACATGTGAGGTGGTGACGTTTCTGCAGAGACCCTGTCTAATGTCTGGATTTGGATGTTTTGGTTGATTCAGGCGATTCTGGTGTATTTTCCTCCAGCCAATGACAGCGCGCAGGTGACTTTAGGAGTGGATGCTGTTTAAGGATAGACGCGATTCTACCTGGAGAATATGACGGACGTGGACGTAGCTGCAGTGAAGCGCTTCAACTCCACCAACCCCCCCCCTTTTTTTCCTGTTTCTACATTTTTCAAAAGTTGAATGCCTCTTCAGAAACCAAAGGGGGACGTCACAGAGACTACTGACTACAATGTTTGTAACTAGATGCTCGTTGGAAACATTTCGAATGGGGGCTTTAGCTGTTGAAAATTAAATGAAGAGAGAGAATCGACACCGTGCAGGATGGAGCATCCCCCCAGACTTTGACATAAACACTGCACAGCGCTGAGTTTTTCCCCTTTCTTAAGGTGTCAGGTTTACCTTTGATGACAGTTTGCAGCAGAGTCCTCTGTGCGTCTGAGGGTCCACTGCTCGGTTTGCTGCTGCTCCCGCTGTCTCTCTGCCGGGCCACAGCGACCGCGATGCCCACCGGAGGATGCCGCACCTCCCCTTCGCCCTCCCGGCCGAACGAGCGCGCACTGTCCGGACGCTCCTGCTCCCTCTTGAGCTGGGGGGGCACCCTCAGGGACCCTGACCCCATCGACACCCTCTCCCTGTCTCTCTCCCTCTCTCTCTCCTTCTCCCTCTGCCGTTCTCGCTCCCTCTCTCTCTCCTTCTCCCTCTCCCGTTCTCTTTCTTCGGGCCCGATGTGGCCCAGGCCGCCGAAGGGTCCCCGGGCCTCCGCGGCGTGCCGGGATGAGCCGGGACCCTCAGCAGCGAAGTTCCCGCTGTATTTAATCAGACTCTGCATGGCTGAGACCTCTGTGGGATCCGACCCCCCTCGCTCTCCACTACTGGACCCTCCCGCTAACGACCCCCCCGGTCTGTAGAGCGCTGCCGGGTCAAGGAAGCACCTCTGACCCGCCTCCTCACCTGTCTGTCCGTGTTGGGGAGGGTGCGTGTGGGGGAGTGGCTGTGGGTGGAGTGTGTGTTGCTACTGGGTCGATGGGTTGTGTGCGGGGACATTTGTGTGTGTGTGGGAGAGATGGTGTGTCCGTGTTGGGCTGCCAGAGCGGCCATGTGGCTCGTAGCGTAATTGGCTAACGGGCTGATTGTGGAGTTCCACTTTGGCTCCGCCCCCGTCCGCTCTACGCCCAATCGTATGGAGTGTTTGGAGGCGTCCCGGCTCTCTGGGCTGAACCTTGATTGGCCGGAGGAGAAAGGCGTGTCCTGGCCTCGTTTCGCGTTGGAACCGTTCGAACAAATGACAGAACCTTCCTCTCGATGATTGCTTGTGTCGCCGGAGAGACGAGGATGCTCCATGAGGCTCCTCTCGGGAAACCTGTAGCTCTCCCGCTCCCTGTTTCTCTCCCTCTCTCGCTCTCTCTCCCTCTCCCTGTGTTCTCTGTGTTTCTCGGCGTGTTTGTCCCGGGCCTGCGACGCGATCTGAATCGGCCCGGCCCGCTCGTCATAAACCTCCACAGAAGGCACATACGTCGGTGCGCTGACTCGTTGCTCTCGGATTGGGTCTCTGGGTGTGGAGGGGTGGGGCAGGCCTGCTGGGGAGGGGTGAAGTGCAGGAGGGTGGGAGTAGGAGACATGGAGGTTCTGGGCTGACGCGGCCACAGAGTCGTTCCTCCTTTGCCTCTCAGAGTTCGAGTTATTGGAGTTGTGGTTGTGGGGTCGAGAGCCCCCCTCCTCATCTCGACCCCCTCTGTCTGTTTCCGGCCCATGAAACCTGACCCCGCCTCCACCTGAAGGAAACGAGGGCCGAGGAGGCGACGGCCTGGATCTGTGCTCCGCTACCGATGGTTGTGACTTGGGCTGGTTCAGGTGAGGGTTAAAGGACCAAACGTCTCTGTCCCTCTCCGCGTTCCGGTCCCTTTCTCTATCTCGCTCCCGGTCGCCGCTCCTCCCCCGGCGCTCCTCCTCGCTCCTCGCGTCCTGCGTCAGATCCACCACGCTGTGAGGCCTCTGCTCCTCCCTCGACCGCTCCCTCTCTCGCTCCCTCTCTCGCTCCCTCTCGCTGCGGATATGTCGCTCCCTCGCGGCGTCCCGCGGCGTCCTCTGTGGGGGGGTGGAGCCGGACGGGGCGATCTGGGGAGCGGATGAAGGGTGCAGGGGCAACTGGCCAAATGAGGTCGGCATGTAGAAGCCTTCTGAAACAAACACAACATCATAAATATAAGTACACACACACACACACACACACACACACACGGAGGCAATCAGAAGCGACATCGACTGACCTTTGTGAGAGTCGTAGAGAGGGTGCGAGGACAGTGAAGGAGGATCCAGGTGCCCCAGGGAGAGGTACGAGTTGGAGTACAGGCTGCTGGGCAGATGAGAGTACCCTAAAGAGAAACACACAACGTGTTAAGCACTGAAGTTTACTCAAAAAAAAAAAAAAAAAAAAAAGAGACTATTCAATGACATCCTCTGCAGCTCTGTCATGTTTCAAATTGTGCTTGAAAATTTGATATGAGGAGCGTTTGGAGCTTCTGAAAACCCCCTGGAGAAGTTACGCAAGATTATTTACATCAAACAGAAACAATGAATCTGTTTAAAAAAAAAAAAAAATTAAAGTTCCATTAGTTCAAACGTCTATTGTTCTAGTCATTTTCAAGCAGAATTGGAAACCAGCTCCATTTTACCTCAAACTACTTGCATTGTGCTGTTCCTTTCTGTATGCTTTAAGTTTCATCTTAACTTTCATTTATCTGACTCCATATGTATAACTTTTTTTTTCCTCCTTTGTTTTCATTCATTTTGCAGGAGCGCTGCCGTTTACTCGCTTTCTTTTGACAAACATTCTGCATTTATTGTTTGCAACAAAACACCAAAACACAGTAGTGCTTAAGTGAAAGCCTGCACAATATGAAACAAATATGAAATGTGCTGTAACTGTGGTTTCCAAAAGGAGGCTTCGAGACACGCTGGGAGGTCACGAAACACTGGGGGGGGGCGCGAGATTCCTTCCAAAAACATGTAAAATTGTTGACAGTCGCAGAGTTTACCCATTATTCTGAAAGTACAAAAAGTCATTAAAGACATGACTTGTGTTCTGCTTCTAGCGTCTCTAACATAAGTGACTTAAATGATATCACAGTGTGTAGGCGGTTGTGTTCCATTGTGTTGTTCTAATGCCAGAGTTTAGAAAGGCCCAAGAGTGTGCACGGCTGTGTACAACGGTTAGTGTTTTAACCACCTCCAGGGGGCGATGGGGGGTCCCCGGTCTCTAGCGCCGTTACTTTCGGCGTCATGGGCTGAAAAGGTTTGAGAAGCCCTGTGTGGTAGCACAGTTCAAACTCATGATGCAGATACAAAATGCAATAAAATGAACCCACTTTAAGAAGTGCATGTTGGTGTAAGTCGAAATCTATGAATGAGCATAACGTTAAACTTGTTGTTGGCAGCGTGTTTCTCCTGACTCTAAATAAACCCTCAAAGTATTTTGATTTCAACACCGAATTGGCATCAGTTCATCGGGCAGCTAGCTTCATCTCTCTGCATATAACTGGTTTAAAAAGCTCGGCCTTGACACCCAGACCTCAAACAAACATAGGTAAACTGCGTCCATGCTGAGTGGGAACGCATTGCATGTTGACTTTAAATTATTATTTTGAATGCATGGCGATAGCTTCAGGATGTTGCTTTGTGTTTTATTGAAATTAAGATTGTGCAGCCATGCTTATTTGTGTAAAACTGCTTGGCAATAAACCCAAAATCTAACAGTGACATCACCTATTAGTGATTCATTAATGTGTACTCACAGCTGTTGAGTCAGCAGATTTGACCAAATGGAAATATTCAACCACTTTAAACACCTACACGTACACTCGACCTTGTGTCACCTGCAGACTGGCGTTGTCCATGAGGTCAGTTAGAGGTTGTGGTTGGTCTGGAGTCTGCCTAACAGACAGCTGCTGCTCTCAGAGACAGACTCTTAATATAGACCGAGCCTCGTGTCTGATGGTGTAATACTCTGGATTTTTGTGTTACAGCTGAGCTGGCTGCTACTGTGACGCTGGACTGGTGTCACCCCCCACACACAAAAAAAAAAAAAAAGAAAGGGTCTGCCACCCAGAGAGGGCGAGACATTCCCTGTTCCCACACTCGGGCCATTCCAAGAACTATCAAAGACGCCGCAGTCATTCCAGCACGGAGCGCCAGGGAGCACGGGCCGAGAATAAATCTGTCTCCTCGCTTGCGTTCTCAGAGACAGAAATGGAGAAGCAGGAGGAGCTGGGAAGGGCGGTCGGTGGTTGGAGGGAGGCGAAGAGAGAGACGGAAATACAAGAGGAATGATGTGACGAAAAGTAAAGGCATGCAGGATGGGTTTCTGCAAAGCTTCCTTCACCCACCGCGAACAGCCAACCTTGATCTCTCACAGCTTTGATACGGCGTTCCTCTGCAGTTACGGCCTGAGCTGCAGACGGAAACATCGCCATCCTTTTAGTAACTTTAACCGCTGTTAAAGCGCAGCCACCAGGTTTTTTTTTTTTTTTCACCAGAATCTCTCTGGCCGTGAAGACTTCTTTTCATATCAAGAGGCTTCTGTAAGTCAGCGGGAGGTTTGATCCTCTTCAGCTTTAGATAATCAGAACTTCAGTTATGGCTTAACTTGAAGTTTAGTCCATCCATCATATGTCTTACTTCTCTGGTTGGATTCAAAGTTTGTGGGATTCTTTATGGAATCCTGATCAAGTGTTTTAAAATTAAAAAGTTTGACTCAGATTTGGTGTTTGTGCCTTCTTTTTTTTTTTTTAATTAAGCACATCTCTAATGTTTTTATCAGCCTAACTACTTACTCAGTGTTCTAAGTCACAGGACTGTTGTATCAAACTGTTTCAGATGTCGTAACAGCAGCATATCGTTGTCCTGACTCTTGTGATACAACTACCTAATCGATGGTTCCAAATATCCATATTTTAATTTTTTAAAATATGCCCCCTTAGCAAATTTCCCTGCCAATTTTTTTTTTTTTTAAGATTTATTTTTGGGCTTTTTGTGCCTTTAATGGAGAGATAGGACAGTAGATAGAGTTGGAAATCAGTGAGAGAGAGAGAGTGGGGAATGACATGCGGGAAAGATGCTGGACTCGAACCTGGGCCGCCCGCTTGGAGGACTACAGCCTCCATACAATGGGACACTCGCGCACTAACCACTGCGCAACCAGCGCCCCCCCATTTCCCTGCCAATGTGACTCGCCGCGTCACTACTTCATGACTCCTCTCAGTGGAACTCAAAGACATGAATGAGGGTAACACGAGTAGAAGTCAGCAGCGGGATAATGTCAGCCAGCAGTGACGAGAAGTTTAGAGGTGAAGCATGATAAGAGGTGAAACTGAAAGTGTAGTGAGTAAATCTGTTAATCCTGCACTTTGCTTGTTTTAGGGGATATTAATGTTCTTCAGTCACTCGATGCTTTCGTCACGTCATCGCAGAATCGCTGTTGGTCATTGTGGGCCACTTATCGCATATCTTATATCAGGAGTTACCCAGCGACTCCTACTCCTGGTATCAAGTAACCAGGGGGGCCTCATGTATAAACAGTGTGACACACTGAAATGTTGAGAATCTGTGTTTCAAGCACACGCCGGGATGTATGAAAATCACTGTGAGGTGAGCACGTGCGGACCCTGCCAAGAAGTCGAGACCCGCCGTGAAAATGTGCGGCCCGTCGCGTTAACTTCCGATTTGATGGCGCCAATCTACATAGCTGTGAAACTCGCCAGATATTCTAGTGTGAGCTTCAATCTGGATCACGTTTGACATCAGAGGGGTGAAACAAAAACACATCTGAACCAACTGAACCACTGCGCCGAAAGAAAAAAAAAAAAATCACAAGTAAACTGGGAAGTATTCTCGATTAGTGTGACATGGGAGACGTTAACACACATCAGGGACTGTACAGGTGCAGAGGCGCACTCCCACCTGCTGTGTAAGCATGTAGCACGCTGAAGTTGGTTTGTTCCACAAATAAAAGTGTAAAAACATAAATGCAGTCTTTCGGTGTTAATAATGTTCTCATACCTATTCTGCGCTATGAGCAGTTGCCAGGGAACCAGAAGAAGTTACCACTCAGAGTCTGATACATGATAAAAGGCAGGAGCAGGAGCAGGAGCAGGTGTCGCTTTGAATCCAAGAAAGTCACATTGAGACTAAAATCTTTAAACTAATCACACACACACACACAACCTGTGTTTGCAAAGCACTGAATAAGCTGTGTGTCACACAGGCGAGGCAATCAGTTCTCAAATGAGTCCCTAAATTGAATCTGTTCGTCCTTCTCTTTTTTTTTTTTACAGCGACAAAATGCTGCTGGATATACGTTTCCCTCTGAAGTGACCTTCTACTCCAGTAAGATTTGATAAGGAGACACAAAAGAACGAGAGGGAAGGAGGAGGAAAGGACAGAGATTCAATCACTTACTGAACAGAGAGGACGGAAGGGAAGGACAAAAAAAAAGAAAACCACACAAAGAATATATGCAGAGTTTCTAAATATGTCTTTGGAAGTTAGGTCAGGAGAGGTATGTTGTTGTAAAGTGGGACAGTAAAACCAGAGAAGGACAGACAAAGACAAAGTGCATACTGGACAGAAAGCTGAGAGAGAGAGAGAGAGAGAGATGGATTACAGTAATGTACGACAGGCGAAAGGAAGACACCGGGCAGAGACAGAGGAGAGGAGACGCATATAGGACAGAGCCGGCAGCACAGCTAGCAGCAGAGACAGAAATGGAACAGGATCCCACCGGAGTGAGCAATGAGGAGTTCGAGAGGAACGAGCCTCCTGGGCTTTGGACGGGAGCAGACTGTGAGGAATCTCGTGGAAATGATGTCGCTCCTGTTCGCAAGACTCCCGAGTTAAGAGACCCAGAACCATATCAACAGATTGCAGGACAATTATTTAATGACGCGTCACGTCACCTGAGATATGAAGGAATATCAAATACCGACAAAAAAAAAAAGAGTTATGTTTTTAGTCATTAAGTTTCGGTTTCACCCATGATCAAGCTTCATCCTTTCACTTCTTTTCACCGCTCTCTGAAATGATCACCTTTTTTTTTTTTTTTTTTACCAACTTCTTCTGTGCCCCTTTAACCTCTGTTCATGTTACACTCCATTCATGTCATAGCGCCCCCCCTTGAGGAGTCACAAAGTGGCGATGTGGCGACTCAAATTGGCAGGGGGAAAATTGGTTTGGAGTGCTGTTTTTATTTTTGAAAGTGGAAATGTTGCTATTTGGAATCGGTTATTGAATATTTGTATTCCCCCGACTCAGGAAGATGATTCAAGATGCTACATGTTTACTGTCACTCTGGTTCAGAAGGTACAATAGTGTGAAACTCGTCGTGTAGCCAAGAGTCTTGACCGTCACTATTTGTTTGGTTTCCTGAGATGACTTGATGATGATTTGACGTTGAATAAATGAAAAACTGATGTATACATTGATTGGTGTAGCGATGTTCTGCTCCGTTCACTGCATACAGTGCTTCGAGTATTGTAAACCACGGGGTAGGAGTGCGCTCTGTTGGACAAACTGCATGATTACACCGTTACATGATTGCATGATTACAACGATACACTTTATTGTTCCCTTGAGGAAAATTGTCTTGGACCAAAAGTGCTGCACACATTCAGCTGCCTCTCCAGTAGAATCAATCAACCAATCAATCAATCAATACCGATACGTCCGCAATGGGTAAATATCTGTCGATAATATCGGCCACCAGATGCATCAGTCGTACTGGGAACTGAATTATCTACAGAGAGCAAAGGAGGTTAAGAAATGTTTGTTGAAGCCGAGTCGTCTTTTACCTTCATGAGCGTGTGATGCCCAGAGCTGAGCCATCTGCAAACTGCTGGGATTGGCCGTTCTGTACGTTGGGTCAGAGGTCAAGGAGGAGGGGCCTGGATAGCCCGACAGGAAGGGACTGGAGCCCGCCTGGAAGGCATCACCTGGGAGGGAAGAATGAAGACCGTCAGTCACCGTGGTAACCACAAGTGCAAAACTAATAAACGACAAAGATGATCGATTAAGACTGCATAAGCTGTCACTGTGTGTGTGTGTGTGTGTGTGTGTGTGTGTGTGTGTGTGCGTGTGTGCGTGTGTGTAATCGATGCATGCTGACGGTTCTGTGCTGAAGCAGTCTGTTGTAATCACATTATTACTGAGCCACCATGCACTCCGTTTCCACAACACAGACCGCGGACAGACTGCGCTGAAGAAGAGGACAGTTCATGTAACGGCCAAACACAAACCACAATCATCACAGCTGGAGGTAAAACCTGAGCGCATCATATGATGTAATGCAGCATCATGGGAGAGGCAAACATGGAACAGACTGGAGCTCCTTCGACAGACTCCGGCGTCTTCCACTTTCTCCACAAGACACAACAACAGGAAACCTTTCCCCACGTTATTTTAAAATCATGAACATCATTTCTGTGCCTACTCTGGGTCTAACTATTAATCCAGGCCGTCGGCTGAGAATGATCTCGTGTGTGAACTCATCACTCATTGATGATTCATTGTTTCAGTTATTTTCTCAATCAATCACCTGCTCAATAAAAAGTGAAACAAAAAAGGAGTCAGATAATGTCTTCAGGATTTCCCAGAACCAAAAGTAAAATTGATCTGAAGACACGAGTGACAAGAATCTGACAAACAATAACGTCTGAGGACGACGACTTTTATAAAAAGGACACTTCCCTTTCCTTTGCATGGGAACTAAAGCGAGACGTTTGGTAAAGCTGTGCAAAAAAACAAGAACAAGGAAAGTACCAAAAATATTCTATATATTACATTCTGTGGATTAAACATGTCCCGTTATTTCCCTTCCATTGCCGTACTCATAACCTCCGGCCTGTAGATGTCGCTGTTTAGCTCGTAGGCTGACTCCCAGAGCCTGAAGCTGCTGCAAGCGAAGAGGAGAGCAGTGGTATTCGATTCGATTGGCGCAGAGAAAAAAGTAAAGTGAGCGAGCGAGGCTTAGGTAAACAAAGCAGTAAAAGAAATAAATTATTTAAATGATTGTTTCACAGAAGTTACACTCTACAGAACTAATAAACATGTCTACAGTTCCACAGAAACGTACAAGAAGGAGCTGCAGACGGAAACATCTCCTTCCTTTAGTATCTTTAACCGCAGTTAAAGTGCAGCCACTGCGTTTTAAGAATCTCTCTTTGGCGTCAAGACTTAAGAATTTTTTAATTTTTTTATGCCTTGTGTAAACAGTATTTCAAATGAGTTGGTATTTGTTCAGTCACTTTTTCTGTGCCAGCATTTTGTGCCAGTCGGTAATTAAAAAAAACAAGTTAAAACATTTTGTGGTGCCCGGGGCTTAGATTTTTGTTGCTGCGGTATCCAAACAGGTATTCACATTGTTTATTTGTACTTGTTTGATATTGAAGTTTATGTCCTGATAGTTTGGATTAAAAACGGATTGACAACAGACTCATGTTGATATTTCCATGTCGCTTCAGTCAACTCAACTTTATTGTTATTAAGCGTTTTTCATACAAACATGCAGCCCAAAGTGCTTCCACATGCGAGTTGTTCTTCTATCGGTATCCGCCCTAAAATACAGTTTCTGTAAGTATGCCAGTCGATGCATCCATCCAATCAGAAATCAGAATGGCTGCAGGCGGAGACTTACACTGTTTGTCAAAGATTGCAGCATGTCAGCAATCATTGGTTTTCACTAATACGGTATTTACTTTTTAAAATGGTATTAGCATCACGGGGTACTCTACATCACAGACCTACTGTAGGTATCGGCATAGGGAAGAATAAAAATCAATCTTTACTTCACGTGGGAATAAACGCAGGGGGAAATAAAGACTAAATTGAGAACAACAGGCAACAACAAACTGAGAATACATGACGTAAAAGTTACAACCACAAAAAGCGATGAACCGTCACATCAAAGAGAGTTGACGTCACTCAAACCGTTCAAACCTGCTCTATTGACTTAATATCGAAAGAGAGTGGATCCTCATAAATCATTTCTAATCTAAACTATATCCTGCTTATCATTATCCATTGAGTTTATTAGCTCTGTTTTTATATCACTCTACTCCCTGCATGTGAGTCATTAGTCAAATTTCAACCGTAGACCATTACCGCCTGAGCCAATCACAACCACCTAAGAGCTGGAAAAGATTACACACGCACACGCACACACTATACATAGACGCACACACACACACTATACATAGACGCACACACCCTCTCCCCATCCCCGCCCATTACTGGACACACTGCTCAGCCATTACCCTGATAAAACTAACCATGTGTTTAGGGGAAAGGGTGCAGTCTGTATATGGACGAGGGGGAGGGGACAGTGTGTGTGTGTGTGTGTGTGTGTGTGTGTGTGTGTGTGTGTGTGTGTGTGTGTGTGTGTGTGTGTGTGTGTGTGCATTAGTCCTGTGGGAATCTGAGAAACATGCTGTGCTCGCTGAGTTTCCTCTCCATCTAAATCTGTACATTAAAATCAAACACACACAGAGTGCATCTGTAAATCAATAGCAAACGCAGCTTTCCAATTAATCACAAACTGACGAGTGCACACACACACACGCACACACACACGCATGCAGCATTAATGTTGCATGCCTGTGTGCGTGTGTGTGTGCATGCGTGTGCGTCTCCTCCGTGTTTAAAAATACTGTGTAGGAGGATCTTTCCACCCTCAGCCCGCTCTCACACAGATTTATTGAAGCCTTTCCATGTTTGCCTGCGTGTGTGTGCCTTTGCTGCACGTGTGTGTACTCAGGGTCTGTGTGTGTGTGTGTGTGTGTGTGTGTGTTTTTCTGAAGTGGCTTCACTGCATCACTGTGTGTGACCGCGCTGACATGTGTAAACAGTTGTGTGAGGGTTTGCAGTGAATACCCGTTGAGTCAGAGTCACTTTGGGAGCTTCAAACACACACACACACACACACACACACAGAAAAACAAAACACACACGTAATAACAGAGATATGAATCCCACCACCCCGTCAGTTCCTGGTAATAATGTAAACACACACACACACACACACACACACACACGCACACAGCCTGTGATTAACCTTTAGTTAGTCTCGGTACGTTAACTCTGCTGGAACCCCCTCCCCTCCCCTCCCCTCCCTTCCCTCCCCCCACCCACACGCACGCACACAACACTGGGTCTTAAAGTGTCTTCCATTATTTATAACAGCTGAGACATATTATCACACTAAACTGATTATAGTCCACCTTTCTCAATACGGTGCTTAGAAAAAAAGAAAGCATAAAGGAGTGAAAAGTGTTCCTTTTTTTAATCCGTAGGGCTGCACATGAAGAGAAAAGTACGCAATGTGCAACATCGTTTACGTAGAGGGATAACGACATGAAGTGCGATAAGAAAACTAATATTCCATCGCACATTTCAGATTCAACTAGGTTTGGGAGTCACTGAATCATCTGTATTGATAAAGACTCCTTCAACAGTCTCACGATGCGTTCCACTGACCTCGAGTCTGAGAGCGGGGAATGACGCCACGCCCGAGTTAACCAATACCTTGGTTAGCTTCGTTTGTTTGTTTGTTGGCCGATACCTGACGACAACAACACGCGTCGTGATAGTTTGCCTGTGAAAATAACTTGAATAGCTGAAGTCGTTTTGAGTTCAGAGCCGGATACCCGACTTTATCGACACCACCAAAAGATACATTTCTATTATTTGGTGGAAAGACGAGAAAAAGTACAATTTAATTTGACTTTTAGTAATTTAATTTGACTTTTAAAAATCTTGGCGACTGTGGCTTCAATGATTTGTTTACTGATTGAAGCTCATGTTAAAAGTTATTCTATCTGTGATATCTATTTTAGGGCGTCCGCTTTGAGGAGCTAACTAGTGGTTATCCTTTCGATATCGACACAGATCCCCCCCCCCTTCTCTCTTATCTTCTGCTTTGTATTCAAATGAAGACAAACTTTGGATCTCTTGGCACATTCAGTGATCTGAATTGAATGACGTTATGTAAAAGGACCCCTGCAGGAGGCCACAGCAGCAGTATCGACGAGCTTAAACAGTATTGATTTCTGGGTTTCATCCCAATCCCTCCTCGTGACTTTTTCATGATGTCCATCATGACAGTTGTAACGTAACAAAGCCTTCAAAGTGTAAACAAAGTAAATGTTAGTGCCAGCTTTCAAGCATTCATTTCAGCATTTGTCCTAGAAACAGGATTCTCACACACACACACACACATATTTTCTAATTGTTACCTGGTGTGTAAAAGAAACTCAACAAAGCAGAGATACTGTTTCAGTGAAGAAACACACACACACATACACACACACACACACACACACACACACACCACCTGTCAACCTTGTAAAGGCTCTCATAGGATGTCAGCAGTTTCCATTCCTTCAGGCCAAACACCAGGGTCACACACACACACACACACACACCACTAGGGTATGGATCAATTTCAGCATAGTGGTCGCCCTTAAGGCCCTTTAACACACACACACGCACACACAGGTTCCAACAGTCTGTGCCAGTTATCAGGGAAAAAAATAAAAAATACAACCCCAAATCCCCAGTTCCCCTTCCTGAACAGTCTGAGGGAGGAAGAGGAGGGCGTTGGTGGATCGAGGGAAAAACATTTTCGCTCCCCGTTCCAGAAAAAACCTCCGCACGCTGTAGCTGAGAGGGAAACTGCTCTTTAAATGATTTTGGAATTACTCTTTTATTGCCGCCCTCTCTCTGTTTCTCCCAGCACCTTTCCTTCCTTGCTTCCTTCCTTCCCCTCCCTCTCTCGCTCGCTCTGCCTTCACAACTCCGTACTGCTTTCCCGACCCCCAACACACACAAACACTTTGGCTCCCGTTTCACAAGACAGTTTGTTCGGCGTATTGGGATAAGGAGGTTGCCAAGAAACACGCTCTCTGACTCCCAACACGTTCTGAGTCTCTATTTTCAG